CTCTGGCAATTAAATGATAATCAGCATCTTTTCATGTGCCTATTGGCCATTTGTATGTCTTCTTTGGCGAAATGTCTATTTAAGTCTTCTGCCCGTTTTTGGATTGGGTTGCTTGTTTTTTAATTGTTGTTGTTGTTATTGAGTTGTATGAACTTTTTGTATATTTTGGAAATTAAGCCCTTGTTAGTTGCATTGTTTGCAAATATTTTTTCCCAGTCCATAGGTTGTCTTTTTGTTTTGTTTATGGTTTCCTTTGCTGTGCAAAAGCTTATAAGCTTGATTAGGTCCCATTTGTTTATCTTTGCTTTTATTTCTATTGCCTTGGGAGACTGACCTAGGAAAACATTGCTACGATTTATGTCAGAGAATGTTTTGCCTATTTTCTCTTCTAGGAGGTTTATGGTGTCCTATCTTATAATTAAGTCTTTAAGCCATTTTGCGTTTATTTTTGTGTATGGTGTGAGGGAGTGTTCTAAAGAAAGTATGATTTTTAAGATGAAACTTTGGATTTTAAAGAAATGTTATCTCCAAATGCCCCATGTCTTCTGACCACTGTTCCCAAATATGGCTTGGTGGTAGAAAGGTTTGAGAAACACTGTACTAGAGTATCTCATCACCTAGCACCAGCAGAACTATCTTTCTGGCACACTTAAGTTCATTCATTCCCAGTGTGGCCATAGCTAAAGGGGTGTACTCTCCTTTTAAGTTGATTGGTCTCTTAGCTGATGATTTTCCTGCCTCAGCATAGGGTTTGGGCACCAAAATGGAATTTGTTCTTGGTATAATTTTCTCTGACTACTTTTCTACCTGAGATTTTGCCTTACAGTCTCCTGAGGGGCATAAAAATATGCTTAGGGCATTGTTATTCCATATTGCAGGTGGTAGTGGAGGTGTCACAATTGATTTGGGAGGAAGCACTATGGGTAAGGATGCACAATTGGTAGAAAAGGTATTGAAGGTAAAATAAGGAGATTGATCATTGTGAAATACAGGGCCAAAGAGTATCAGTAAGGGAGAGAACTGAACGGAGCAGTCTATTGAGCTAGTGCTTTGAATGGCAGAAAGAAGAGTTTATACTTTATCTGTAAGTGATAGAGGTGTGACGCATACTCTGTTTTTGGTATGAAACACAGTCTCAAACAATGGAAAAATGTCAGTTACTCTGTGTGTGTATGTGTGTATGTGTGTGTCTGGTGGTCCCTTTACCCACTGTCTTTAGGAATATTTATTTTTTGAATTTAGAGGATCACACCTTTTCTTGAAAGGTTCCAGGTACACATGCTTTTGATTCCTTCATGAGATAAGATTAAACCAGCAAAGATACATCACACACAAATATATTTAACAACACCATATAATTACTCAGTGAAGTCGTCATGTTGAAAATGTTTTACTGAGCATTTATTATTGATGAGATGAACTTGAACAGCAGAGGAACTATGACAAATAAGTCTCTCCCTTACTTAAGTGTGAGCCAGGACACGGCTTCTTGAAGCAATTCT